CATCTTGTAATCCGATCGAGTTTGAAGCTTTTTGTGTTGAAAAGCTGATAGAATCATCAAGGGTTTCTGCGCTATTACGGATAACCTCAGAGTTACTGTTATGTTTTTTGAGGTTACTATCTTCTGGGTATTTGTTGTTACCTTTTGTTTTATCAGATTTATTTTTCATTGACCACAGTTCAATATTTTACTAATAAATTGCAAACAGAATGCTTTAAGAGCCACTGGTAACATTTAATTGCCCGATTTGTTGCTTTCTTCTTGTAAGTCCTTTTTTATTTTTTAATGTAACTTTCAAAAGTTTGAGATTTAAACGGGAGAAAGTCAGTTTTAGCCGAAGATCATTAAACTGAAGAGTGTAATTGTAAAAAGACTGAATCTCTGGTTATGAAACTTGGAACTTAGGCGAGACCAAAAAACTCTTCGCTGGTTTTGAACAAATTTTTTGTAGATTTAGTTATAAACACATTTTTGCATCGTCTTAAGTCATTTTTTTAACGCATAGTTCTTTCTTTCTCTTGCCAAAATTGCGACGATTTTTTAAACTATCAATGACATCCGTATTCGATCAAGTTTAATCTGTTTTTCTTCCTTTTGTTGGTTTACATGAACTCACAATCCATTTATGAAAAAAAAAAAAATATGGGCAAAATGAGCACATCAAAAGTATTAGGCTCGTTAATGTTTAAAATTTTTTTTGTATTAGGTGTGATGTGTTGAAAAATGGTAATTAGAGAAAAAATCAGAACAAAAAGCAAATTTTAATCAAAATGCGTTAAAAACTAGCGTTATTTTAAAGTTCATAGATCCATTTTCTGAAACTGATTTTGTATAAACCAACGAAATGAAGACAATAATTGTTCCAACCATTTGAAAAGTGGGAAGGAACTTTGTATTCGGGTGTGTTTTAGTTTTTTTGAAATTTTTCTCCGGCACGCAAAATTAGCTGCCACAAATAATTTTAGTAGAAAGTTGAGTGATATATCACATAACGCTTTTTCAGTCGTTGTTCGAACGACATTTAATTTTTTTTCGAAAAACAATTCACAGAGTTGAGAAAAATTAGTCGGAAGTTTTTTTTGTCTCAATTCGAGCCAATAAAGTGAACGCGCGGTCTTACAATAAGTTCTTATTTTAATGGCTTAAAAATTTACAAAACCTAAATTTGAGCCACATAGATATAGTTTTACTCGAGTAATGTTTTTTTTTGAGAATTTCAGCGCTTTTTTGGAATCAAAAACTTCAAAAATTCATGAAATTACAAAAAAAAATCAAAAAATGTGTTTTTTTTTTTAAATTCTTTTTGTTTCCTAATCATTTTTCCATAAAGATTTTTTTTCCAAGTTGCTTGTTTTTCTATGACTGTCGAATAAGTCATATCTCTTGTTTCTCTTTCAGATCCGTTTATCACACCACGCTGAAAGAATTTTCGTTGTATATTTTAAGATTATGGTCGGAACATTCTGTGCTATCTTTGTCGGAACATAACAGGCTATCTTTGTCCAATTGTTTGTTGTTGACGACTATATTTATTTTGGTTTATGGTTACTTTAAAATCAGATCTTTATAAATCTTCAAAACAAAATTATACTAGCCTCTTTATCTAAAAGGATAAATGAAAATGGCTTAAAACGACTCTTCAGTTATTGAATGGAAATTCAAAAAAAAATTATTGGACTTGTCTTCCAATTTTGGGGTTTTCTGTCAAAAAAAAACATCAGAAAGGATACTGAAATATGAAAATCTTTAAATCTTCAACGCATTGAATTTCTCGATAGTTAAAAATTGTTTCCAAAAGATGGGTTCTTTTGTTGCTCTACTTGAGTACATGGACACTCTAATAGCTGTCTGTTTGCTGAGTTTGCTGTTTTACTTTTCCTAAAATCAACAATTCAGAAACTTGGGTTATTTTGAAAGTTGCTTCAACACGTTCTAAAATTTCAAGGTTTGCTCTTGCAAGAACAAAGTTTCTTACTCAGAAACGAACTTTTTTACGCTTAACTAAATTTCCATAGAAGTGAGCCAGAATAAAAAAATCGCAGGCAAAATTGGAGCATGTCCTCAAAATGAAAATGTTTGTAGTGGTTCTCTAAATATATGTATCTAGAGTTGTTTGTTTGAATCTGTAGGATTCTGACTTTCAAAAAAGTGGTCTGATTTAAAAGAAAACAGTCAGAAATAATCATAAAAAAAATCTTTTCCGCATTGTGGATTTTTTTTTGCCGTTCTCCGCACATAGCTTTCCTAGTGATAAACAACCTCAAACAAGATTTAAATTTTGTTTCAAGCATGATCTTAATCACCATCAGAAAGTTTCAACATTTTCGTATAGAAATACTTTGAGAAAAAGTTTGAGGTTTTTAGCTGACTAATTTAGTTGAGTTCTATACTAAAATGCAACATGGAAATAAAAAAAATGTTTACTCTGAATTTAAAATTTTGGCGGATAAATGTCAGTTTTTTTGTTCATTATTAGCCTCAATTAACTTTTAGTAATCTTAATTGTCCTTTACACTGACATTCTTAAGAAAATTTAAAATATGTTGTTTGTGAGAAGTGATTATTGCATACCATCAATCAGAGTTTTTTCTTCTGGAAATTTAATGAAAAAAACTATGGACGAAAATATTTTACAGTTAATTGCTTTTGTTTATATAGGATACAGCAAAATATGTTAAATGCTTCAATTGATTAAAACTGCCGTCTGAAAATTAGTACTTGCAAAAATTAAATTTTGACCAAACATCAAATTTTGACCAAATTTCGACCGCGTGATTTGTTTTTTTTATAAGTTTTTTTGAAAAATAGTTTTATTCAATAACAACTTGACTTGAAATTCAACTGCTTCAATGTAAAAAAAAAACAGCTCTCAAGCTTTTTTTGGCTTCTTTTCTTGTCTCAAAATGTCAAACCAAAAAAAAATATTCCTGGATTTGATACTTTTATAGTGGTATATATCCTCGACACTTCAATAATGGGGGCAAAAAACTCTCGAAAATAATTGGGTAAAGAGGATTAAGTTATCCCGAACAATTATCCTATGTTTTATTCTGGCCTAAAAACTTTGCATTCTCTCAAAATACAATCTCTCACTGTGAAGCTGACACTAAAATAATTTTTTTATTACAAATATCAGCTATTACCACTTTTTCTCTACCGAACGCAATTATCCCCATCGTAGACAGTTTTCTATAAAGTTATTCTGTAATAAACAATATTTCGAATTATCCAACTTTTTTTGCATAAAACTTTTTTGAAAATTGATCTTACAAGATATTTTAGCTATACTTGTGAATAGGCTAAGAAAATAGTGCAAATGCACAGTCTAAGCTAAGTTTTTTCGCCTACGCCAAATTCTACCTTTATATGCAATGCAAGCTGTATAACTGTCACTGTTCCAGTGCACCTGAACCACGTTTCAAAATGGAAGAAAAATATCAATGAAATATGATTGGAAACTTTGCGGTTGATTGAAACTATTCAATATGAATAATTTTTAAATCTATAACAATGAAGTGCGTTGATTAGAAGTTGAACTGAGCCAGTCGAAATTTATTCCTAAGCAATCTGAAAAAATTACGAAGACCCAGATTGCTAATCAAACAAAACAAATTATAAAAAAATATATCTCAATTGCAAAAACTTTACCTCAAAGTTTTGAAATTTATACGGGCCTTTTATTTTTTTGTATGAAACTGAAATTGTGGGCTACAAAACTAGAAGCATCTCTATTAAAACTTAAATCAATAGTCAAATAAACTTAATAAAATCTGTATGGGCCGCACATGATAGAATTTATATGTTGGATTGGAATACTTCATCAGTTCTTTCACTTGATGAAAGTTCTTGCTGATTATTTGATAAAAAAGCTGTTCTAGAGGAAGAGAAGCGTAGTAACATTTTCTCCTGTACTAATTAACAACACAATGTGCTCCTGGAGTCTCTGCGTCTGAGGTGTTTACAATTATGATGACATGGTTTGGGATAACAGGATATGTCGGCTGCAAAAATTCCGAGAATCTTGGATCATAGAACTTTACAGTTTTGATTGAAGTCTTGCAACGGCAGACAATCAATGTGTTGAAATCATCTGACTGAGAAGTTCAAAAAACGCCCTTCCATTTTTGGCGGTCTGAAAATGGATGAACTGCAGTTGGTAAAAATTACTCGCCTAACTGTGAACATCTAGAAGGAAATAATATTTGGAGTAATTCTGGCCGAAGTTTTTCCTCAAGCTATTAGAACCAGGACTTCAAAAATGTGGAGACTCTCCAGAAATACTTGTGATCACTCTTGGTAACAGGAAAAGAACTGTACACTGAAAACCGGGAGAAATTTTCCGAGCAGAAAAAAATGAATTATTTTCAAAAACCATCCTCTTCAGGCGTTTTTAGGCACTTTTTGGAAACTTTTGACCAAAAAATTGCGTTTTTTCGGCGCGCGCTCCCACCTCAAAATTAGTTTCTATTGGCGCCTAAGGCGCCTTTAGAAAAGTTTTATGTCAGCTGCAAAAATTCACCAAAAATTGATATCTCAAAATAGTACAAAGGGGAGACCCTTTGGGTCGGCAGGGGGTCGAATTCCTGAATAGCCCCCACCCTCCTCAAATCCGCTGGTGAATTTAGACCTTCAGCTTTCAAGTTATGTTTATTTTTCGCTTTCCTGCAACCTTTCGTCATGTTTATTTCATGGCACACTCCAAGAAGGAGGCTTAGAACTCAGATAACGAAAGGTAAAAACACGCGATGATGCGTCACCTCCTAGAAAGATTTCAAAAAGACTATTTCACGTGTGTCCGTTTTTGCATTGGTAGAAATAGCTCCTTGCCAATCCAATGATGCCACTGTATCTATTTGCTAACAAATGATTGATTTTTCAAAAACCCATTTAAAGTTTTAATTTAAAAGCAGACTATATTATTTAATCTATTCAATTATACAATATAATTATAATTACAGCAAAAATACTACAAAAGTAAAGTTATTTTATAAACTCGCAGTCTTCAATTTCTATGTTTCAGAGCATTCTCGATGGCTGGTAATGTGACAGTACTTCCAGACCCATTCTGCTGTTTGGTTTGACCCCTCATCGTGTTTGAGAAACTGTTGCTGCCATCCGAGCCCACGTGGTGTTTCGAGTGGAGAGATGACGTCGCTTCGCTATTTGTGACGTCATTATTTGAGTTCCAGTTTTGACTGGTCAGCTTCCTGGCCAAATTCAAGGAATAAACTTTGTCTGGTAATCATTTTTCCTAATTTCAATTTTTTTTTGGAAAATTTAGTTTCATCGGTTGTAGAAGATAGACTAATATATTCGACACGCTGGTAAACCGAAATCCTGCTAGTAACTCGAGGAGCCCTTTTTTGGTATTGCTTTTGCAATATCCATTTAGGGTCGAACACCCGATAATTGTTCTAGATTTTCCTTCATTTTTTTGATGCCAACATACAAAGATTCGTCAAAATATTCAAAAATGCACATTTTTTCATGCCTGCATAATGGAAAATTGTTTGGCCAAATAAGATCGTTTTGTATTTCCGAAAGATCGAAAAACCGATTACGCCAGTCTTCCCCTTATTTTAAAATCCCTGGAGCACTTTTGTTTTTTAGGATTTCCAGCTGATTTTTTTGGAACCTCTGTGTTAGATATTTCTTTGTTTTGTAATCCATTCGCAAGTGTAGAATTGGTGATTCTACTGTATTACATGCTATAGAAACCTGGGTGTAGGATTGGTAATTCATGATGAAAACGGTTGAAAATTTCGAAATTTGATTTCAACGTAAACCGACTGTATGAACTTGTAGCAATGAAATTCAGTGATAGATAAGCTTAGTCTGAGAGCAAACAATCGTAATCGGATTTGCACCTTGAATTTGACATCTAGGGCGAAGATTTGGAAAAAAGAAGAAAGCGCTAAAATTCTGGAAACCCCCCCCCCCCCCGGATTGGGAACCACCGGTCCGATCCTTATGAAAATTGGTGGGTTACTAATAGAGTTGATTTTAGCCGGGCATGCAAATTTTCAGACCTCTGGGACCCCTGGGGGGCGAGTGATAATGATTTCCGAAAATGCAATTAGCACTTTTTGTAAACCGGTAACTAATGGTCAGAATGACTTCATATTGCAATATGTTGTAGCCCTAGGCGAGGGAAGATCACCACCGGGATTTTGAACGCATCCGGTTATTACTTCCGGTTTAACGCCTTATGTAAACAAAACCCCCTTTTTGTTATTTCTCGACCCCTGATGATGCTAGGAGGCTGAAACTTGGGGGGATGGTAGGTTTGGGGAAGACCTATAATGTATCAATGTTTGGACCCAATCCGGCGGCTACGTCGGAAGCTATTAGCACGTGAAAATTAAATAAGGCTATTAACACCTGATAGTGATAATTGACTTGTGATTTTAATGCACCAATGTGAAGGGGGGCCCAACCCAGTAGGGGGACATCTAGTGATCCAATCCTCTCCGGAACTTCCTATGGGGTGAAAATGGCAATTTTAGGGAAAAGTGTTAATTGACCCAATATTTTCGAAAATATGGGAAGGGATGGTCCGATATGAATGAAACTTAGTGAGAATGATCTCCCATCGAAATTAAGACGTTTGGACGCGTTTGACCTCATTTGACCTCGGATGACCTCTAAGAGGTCGTTAGGCATTCTTGACCCCAAGACCCCGGAACCCCCTGAAAAGTAATAAATTAGCATTGTAAGGACCCGTAAGGGGTACCTACCCACCTGGGGGGTAAGGGGAGGCCCTAAATTGAGAGTTTTTAATTTTGACCTTTGTACGCGAGCGAAAGTGATTTTCTGTAATTAGCAAACATTGGGGTCAGCTTAACCCACTCCACTTGGACTTTCGATAAAAACGACAAACAAGTAAAAATACAGCCCCGTACAAAAATTGGGAACATCTATGGGGGGAAATGGGAATTTCGGGATGAAGATTTTATGAACAGCCCTAGCATATTAAATAAATTCTTGTGGTGTTTTTTCGGATCCAAACGGACACGGGGAAGGGAATTACCCAGCCCTTGGACTTAGGGGAATAAAATTAAAATGACCAAAATGGAAACTTTTCAAGTATCACGGAAGTTAAGTTACCGATTGTGTGAGTACTACCCAATCCATAGGAAAGGGAAAAAGTTAGGAAGAACTAAAATAAAATCATGCAAGGGTTCATTTGTCAAATACGATTGGGAGCCGATTTTGTAGTTGAACCCAATGTTTGCTCAGTATGTCCTGATTAACTGAGTGGCAGCTAGTTAAGTGAATGATATTTAATTAAAGCTGACCTAATGGTTGATTCAGCTGACAAGTCCTGAGTGGCGGCTAGTTAAGTGAATGTCAGTAGGGATAAGGAACGGTAGGCCTCTGACCGAACCGAAAGTAAATAAAGATAACGATACGCGATTAAGGTACAACCACCGAACCGGGTCAGAACAATTGATACTGAGATAGAGTATAGTTGGTTCTCAGTTAGTTAGAGAACAGTGAAAACTACGATTGAAAATAGTTGGTTCTCAGTTAAGTTAGAGAACAATTTGGGCTACGAGTTAAGGTAGTCGTTGTATCCTCAAATTAGAGTGAGAACGAAAGTTGACAAAGACTGAGTAAGTCGGTTGGAAAAAGTTGCAAAAACCTTAAAGGAACAACTTCGCGAAAGTTGTTAATTTATCGGGTGAGGTAATTTTTCCTAGGGTACTTTTGGGATTAAAGCGTAGTTCAGAGAAGATAACTCCGAACGATAATTAAGGTTGGGATATTGATAACTGTTAAAGGCAGTTAGTTAATTAATACAAATCGCAGTCCTATTCTTTATTTGAACGACTAATTGATATTTCCGCCATTTAGAGGCTACTCTGTATTTGGTTATATTTATTTCCTAATTCAGTCTTATTATTGGAATTGTTGTTGCGATCGACTATTGATTGACAAGTGAGATACAGTCGGAAGAGCACAGATCACGGGGCAAGCAGCATAGTAAGATACAGAGAAGCCAACCACCAAATCAACCCTTTTGGGATTGTAAACAGTATTGGGAATCGGTTGCCCCACTGACCCCAGTACTAAAGGGAACATATTGCGGCGGTGCGAAGGACGATAACGAGTGAGAAAGCCGGCCTAGAGATATTGTGAATTCCCCCAAGTTTACAGTGGCGCTCCTGGGTGGGCGTTATTCTGGATTTTAGCTGCAACAACGACTTGTGTGAGATCGAGACGATTAGTGCGAACGAACAATCGACAGACGATTGCCATGAATGAACAGGATAGACAGCTCATGGCAGAGGCTGCAGTGGCAGCGGCGAACGCCCTCGATCGACAGCAGGGTGTGTTCGGATTTGGTACGATCCGACCAGACCAGTTTCCTTCGAATAGTTATCAGAATTGGGCTGATTGGAGAAAGCATTTCGCGTGGGTCGCCGACGCGAACAGGTGGGACGACGAACAAGCTCGGATGGTCTTGCCAACATGTTTGACAGGTTGGGCGTTAGACGAGTTCACGAGTATGCCAGCTCACTTTCGACAAGAAGTTGACGGGTTCGACGACCCGACTCTGGGACGAATGTTGGGGGAACTCGACCATCGAATGATGCCCTTCCAGACCCAAGCAGGCGCACGGGCCGAGTTCAAGAACTTAATGCAAAATGAGAAAGAGGGAATCAGAGAATTCTCCCGACGAGTGCGATCAGTGGGCGAAGTAGCGAATGCGAATATTCCAGTGCAGATTCGAGACGATATGAATCGTGAGCAGTTCATCGATGGGATATTCGATGCGGATCTACAGGAGTTGCTTCTACGAGAAGATTTCGATAGCTTCGGTCAAGCTGTGGCTCGAGCCCAAGCACTAGAGATGGCTAGTAGGACAGCCAGGCTGCGCAACAGAAGACGTCCTAATGCTGTTCGGGAAATGCACGATTTTCTAGAGATAGAATCGGGAGTTATCGGCGACGAATTACAAGCAGGCGGGGCTCAACAACTGCGAGCGGACCTGACAAGTTGGCAGAAAAATACAGATCAGCGGCTAGATCAGATTGTGACACAGGTGCAAAGACAGGGGTCGCAGCAGAATGATCTAGCGAAACAATTGAAAATTCAGAACTCGAGACACGATGATGTGATGACACAGATGCAGAGTATGACGGCTATGATGGGAAAGTTAGTTAATTCGCTTACCCCTACTCCGAACCCCGATGGCAGACCCCAACAAGAGACTCGTCCCCAGTCGAGGCAGTTGTTCGAGTCGGGAGGAAACAGTCAGAAAAGTGCGGGCAATGGTGTTGGCCGATACGGTTTGAAGAACCCATGGACCCAGGGTGCTTGTTTTTGTTGTGGACAGGTGGGCCACATTGCGAAAGGCTGTCCCCAAAGAAGTGCGAACCATTTAAACTACCAGGGGCCGGGACAGTAGACGAGTTCGAGGGAGGCTTTGTTCCGGCCGAATATAAGAAGCAACGAGGTGTCAGACGACCTCCAGCGACAGTTGACGATCCCAGACGGATCATCGAGACTGAGCGAATGCGTGAAGACAAATGCGAAGGTGATTCGATCCTCGACAGGGAGCATGTGAGGACAATATTGCAGCGTCGGTCACGAACCACAGATAATGCGAATGATACAGGCGCGATCCACAATCGCCAAACAAAGATGACATACGAGTGCGTGGTTATTAGTCATTGGTCGAATGATCCGTACGGAGCCTATGTGGATGCTTGCGTTGGAGGAACAAACATGGACACGTTATTGGACACGGGGGCCATAACGAATTTGATCCGAAGCGACAAGGCTCGAAAAATTGTTGATGGACCGGAGATAAAACTGTACAGGGGTCACTTGGAGACAGCGGACGGAAAGAAGGTCGCTGTTGATGGTTGCATAACGACAAATTTGAAGTTAGGTGTCATCGATGATGAAATCGAGGCTCTGGTGGTACCCGAACTGAAGGCTGAGATGGTACTCGGTCTCAGATCACTGAGAGGGTACAAATGTTCGTTAGAATTCAGCAGAGACAACTTGTGGACGGGGCCTACGGAAGGATCGGTTGTGCCAGTGTTTTATAAGGCTCCCCAGCTGGTCCCCGAGTTCCCCCAGACGCAGGAGGGAAAAACAAGTTGGAAGCGAACCGGTGGGATAGACCAATTCTGACAAATAATATGTCCAGCGATGTACTGGCCGAAATTCCAGAGGGTTGGCCAGTCAACTATGAGAGTCACAGTGTAAATATGCTCCATGATAACGAAGCTGAAGACGACGACATGTATGGATGCCCCAAGCCAGTATCGTTAGAGGAAGCACTGAGAAGGACTCGTGGCGGAGGTCGATCAGATATGGTTGCAGTGGTTTCAGAGTCAGAGGGGGCCACAACGAGCAAGCGACCGACTCCTTATCGGTCGGTTAGTTTCTTCGATGACCGGGAGATGTATGATAAAAATGAGTTGTTGTGGGCGAACAACCGGGAGGGTTTTAGTCATGACCCAGGTCCAAAAGATGTACCAGTGAGATTGTTGCCTGTGAGCAATCAAGCGGAAGAGCAACAAGTGAATCCACCTGGGCGTAATGTGCGAAACAGGGCGATGCCCGAACACTTTGCTGATCCACCTCAACGAATGATGGATGTGGCTAGGAGGGAAGATGTGATAGAGACGTACGATGCGACGGAGCTCAAGGCCAGAAGGGAAGAAGAGCCTGCGAATCTACCGAGTGAGGCGGAAGGCAGACCCCCGGGAGAGCCGATGGCTGCTGAACCAGTGATAGAAATTAGCACTGCAGATGATGGCGGTCGGCCAACTCGAGTAAGGAAACCACCTGTAAGGTTTGGAATCGACGAGTTTGTGAGTTAAAACTTTCATTAATAAAGTGTTTCTGTTCATTTCATATATAGTTGGTGCTTCTTGTTATCTGAGTGCGATCCCACCTAACGGTTTTGTGCGGATTTCGAACATTAATGATTACGAATAGGAAAGGGTTGGATCGTACCATGAAGAGTAAAGTTAATTCAGTTACGTCCCCTCTTAGGTTACTCATTGTGCTATATAATTGTTTATTTAACGGGGACTAACTGATGGGTCCGCAATCTTTAAGAATAAAATTTTAAAAGGGGGAAAAACGACCAAGTGTTGAGAACACGGCGTAGCGGAACGAAGCGTTATGTAAGTTAACCGTAGGCTTGTAATTAGTAACTTTTTCATTATTCGCGAGAATAATAGACTAGAAGGGAAGATTGTAGAATTGGTGATTCTACTGTATTACATGCTATAGAAACCTGGGTGTAGGATTGGTAATTCATGATGAAAACGGTTGAAAATTTCGAAATTTGATTTCAACGTAAACCGACTGTATGAACTTGTAGCAATGAAATTCAGTGATAGATAATCTTAGTCTGAGAGCAAACAATCGTAATCGGATTAGCACCTTGAATTTGACATCTAGGGCGAAGATTTGGAAAAAAGAAGAAAGCGCTAAAATTCTGGAAACCCCCCCCCCCCGGATTGGGAACCACCGGTCCGATCCTTATGGAAATTGGTGGGTGACTAATAGAGTTGATTTTAGCCGGGCATGCAAATTTTCAGACCTCTGGGACCCCTGGGGGGCGAGTGATAATGATTTCCGAAAATGCAATTAGCACTTTTTGTAAACCGGTAACTAATGGTCAGAATGACTTCATATTGCAATATGTTGTAGCCCTAGGCGAGGGAAGATCACCACCGGGATTTTGAACGCATCCGGTTATTACTTCCGGTTTAACGCCTTATGTAAACAAAACCCCCTTTTTGTTATTTCTCGACCCCTGATGATGCTAGGAGGCTGAAACTTGGGGGGATGGTAGGTTTGGGGAAGACCTATAATGTATCAATGTTTGGACCCAATCCGGCGGCTACGTCGGAAGCTATTAGCACGTGAAAATTAAATAAGGCTATTAACACCTGATAGTGATAATTGACTTGTGATTTTAATGCACCAATGTGAAGGGGGGCCCAACCCAGTAGGGGGACATCTAGTGATCCAATCCTCTCCGGAACTTCCTATGGGGTGAAAATGGCAATTTTAGGGAAAAGTGTTAATTGACCCAATATTTTCGAAAATATGGGAAGGGATGGTCCGATATGAATGAAACTTAGTGAGAATGATCTCCCATCGAAATTAAGACGTTTGGACGCGTTTGACCTCATTTGACCTCGGATGACCTCTAAGAGGTCGTTAGGCATTCTTGACCCCAAGACCCCGGAACCCCCTGAAAAGTAATAAATTAGCATTGTAAGGACCCGTAAGGGGTACCTACCCACCTGGGGGGTAAGGGGAGGCCCTAAATTGAGAGTTTTTAGTTTTGACCTTTGTACGCGAGCGAAAGTGATTTTCTGTAATTAGCAAACATTGGGGTCAGCTTAACCCACTCCACTTGGACTTTCGATAAAAACGACAAACAAGTAAAAATACAGCCCCGTACAAAAATTGGGAACATCTATGGGGGGAAATGGGAATTTCGGGATGAAGATTTTATGAACAGCCCTAGCATATTAAATAAATTCTTTAGGTGTTTTTTCGGATCCATACGGACACGGGGAAGGGAATTACCCAGCCCTTGGACTTAGGGGAATAAAATTAAAATGACCAAAATGGAAACTTTTCAAGTATCACGGAAGTTAAGTTACCGATTGTGTGAGTACTACCCAATCCATAGGAAAGGGAAAAAGTTAGGAAGAACTAAAATAAAATCATGCAAGGGTTCATTTGTCAAATACGATTGGGAGCCGATTTTGTAGTTGAACCCAATGTTTGCTCAGTATGTCCTGATTAACTGAGTGGCAGCTAGTTAAGTGAATGATATTTAATTAAAGCTGACCTAATGGTTGATTCAGCTGACAAGTCCTGAGTGGCGGCTAGTTAAGTGAATGTCAGTAGGGATAAGGAACGGTAGGCCTCTGACCGAACCGAAAGTAAATAAAGATAACGATACGCGATTAAGGTACAACCACCGAACCGGGTCAGAACAATTGATACTGAGATAGAGTATAGTTGGTTCTCAGTTAGTTAGAGAACAGTGAAAACTACGATTGAAAATAGTTGGTTCTCAGTTAAGTTAGAGAACAATTTGGGCTACGAGTTAAGGTAGTCGTTGTATCCTCAAATTAGAGTGAGAACGAAAGTTGACAAAGACTGAGTAAGTCGGTTGGAAAAAGTTGCAAAAACCTTAAAGGAACAACTTCGCGAAAGTTGTTAATTTATCGGGTGAGGTAATTTTTCCTAGGGTACTTTTGGGATTAAAGCGTAGTTCAGAGAAGATAACTCCGAACGATAATTAAGGTTGGGATATTGATAACTGTTAAAGGCAGTTAGTTAATTAATACAAATCGCAGTCCTATTCTTTATTTGAACGACTAATTGATATTTCCGCCATTTAGAGGCTACTCTGTATTTGGTTATATTTATTTCCTAATTCAGTCTTATTATTGGAATTGTTGTTGCGATCGACTATTGATTGACAAGTGAGATACAGTCGGAAGAGCACAGATCACGGGGCAAGCAGCATAGTAAGATACAGAGAAGCCAACCACCAAATCAACCCTTTTGGGATTGTAAACAGTATTGGGAATCGGTTGCCCCACTGACCCCAGTACTAAAGGGAACATATTGCGGCGGTGCGAAGGACGATAACGAGTGAGAAAGCCGGCCTAGAGATATTGTGAATTCCCCCAAGTTTACAGCAAGAAAAAAAGCAAGATTCGATTTCTATTAGTTTTTTTTGCATTTTTTTTTGTGCAATTTTCATACTTTTGATTGATTCCAATTTCTGAAGAAAGTAACGGACAACCTGTGCTTGCCTATTTAATTTTTCCCTCCATTTTGACGAATTTTTCCTTCCATTTGATTGTTGACGAAGTCTTCAGCTCAAATTAAAAGGAAATGGTGAAAATGTTTCAACAATAAAATAAATTGTTTTCATGATAGTTTTTTTAAATTCGATGGATGCTTGTAAATGAATGCCAGTTTTTTTTAAAATTCGATGGATTCCAGTTTGACTATTACTCGGATCACTATTGCATGGTATATTGCGTTCTGTCAAAGCATGACAGCAAATTAAATCGATCTAAATCGACTTGGAGTAAGATATTGGGTCTGATTAATACGCTACTAGCCGCAAAACGTATTTTTTTATAGCTTACATGGGATGAGGAGGAGTTGAATTTGAGAATCAGTCATAGCTACGATTGTCGTAACCATTAACCAAGCGATACTTGTCTAGGTATGTGTAATTGGTTTGAATATCCTCTTTTATTTGAGTCTCTTATAGACTACTCACGAAAAATTTGTGTCTTGTTGCACAATTGCGTGACCTTATCAAACTAATCCTTCTTTTTCTAAAAGTTTATCAGAATAATCCGGTTGTTTATCTAGGTTGGGAATTAGATGGACAACTTTCAGACAATTTTGGGAAAATTTTGTCTGGGAACTAAATGTATTGGACACTTTTTGAATTTCGGACAGTTTTGTCCCGGACAAATGTCTTGGACACAATAGGTCCAGACACGGCTTTAAATAGCTTTTGATCGGTTGTGAGATTTTTTTTTCAATGTAAGTGGATTAGATCGATGCAACAAAACTCAAACATGGTAAACTTGGACAGCATAATAAACGGTTTTAACTTGAAGATAATCGCCAGTTAGTTCAAATCTTGTAGTGTTTTTGCAAAATTTTTGCAAGTGTTGCATTTCAAAAACACCAGGTTTCAATTCAGCAGAAATTGTATCTGAACTGACGTTCTATAAAAGGAGTGCTACAAAAAAGCATTGGCGTTTTAAAAGCCAAAAAAATAAGGATAATATCAAGATCTTATTCTTCTAGCCTATAAAAGACCAAATTAAGATCCCCCACCGCAGTAACTAACAAGGATTAAAATTGTTAGTGTGTAAATTTGCGTAAAATACTCGATTCTGATTGGCTGAAAAATCAACTTAGAACCAAGTTATAACCCTCACCCTAAAACCCTTTAGCGAAAACTTTGCTTTAGGATTTCAAAATGCTCCTAATTATGGGTTAATTTCCGCATTGGGGTCGCTTGAATGTCGCTTGAATTAGGCGGCCACTTTCCGTTTCAAATCGTAATACATCTGCTTCCAGTTCCGGTTCTCCTCGTGTAGCATCTCACTCTCCTGTTCGTTCTTCTCCAGTCGCGACAAGAGGGCATTCTTCTGCGCTGTCTCGACCTTTAAAGGATTATTCACAATTAAATGATTTTAGAACAAAGATCCAATGTTAAATGGTTTCAGAAAAATGATTTCACAGCATACGAAACTTGAATAAAGTCAGTAGAATGATAAAGCTTCATATTGATGGTTGTTCTGTGAAAAAAATTTAATCAACACTCATTACAGCGGGATACATAATTAGGGTACAACTTAATTGTTATTCTTTTTTTGATAAACAAACTACGAAAACAACATAAATCTACTTGAGATAAATTAATTCAAAATAATCGAAACTGCTTTGACATAACATCGGTATGACTTACCAACTAAAAAAAACTTCACTTATGATCAACTGAATCATAGTATAGGGTAGATATAATTGTAAAATCATTAAGGTAGATATGCTTGTTGCAGCAAATGGTACCTTGATTTCGGTGCTCATTTTTGAGATGCGTCTCTTGTAGGCTGCTATCTCGTTCTGGTGCTCCACTCCTGGTCTCCGGCTCAAGTTACTCATCATCTCTTCCGCCACCTTCTTCTGCTCTTCCAGACTCTTCTCCTTACAATCACAATCATAACCAATTGGTGACTGTGATATTCCCTAACTGTAGCGAGCTTGTTGGAATAAAAGTAAAGATTTATACTGTTAATTTAGCTTTCTTAGCTGATGTTATCTGAGTTTCCGTAGCTAAGATTAGTTACTGATAAGCATACGGATGTATGACACACTGACTAATTTAACTGTACGATTTTAGCACCACCGAATGGCCTTGACCACACTTACATAATAATAGCATAATAATATATAATTAACACATATGATTACTGCAGTTGCAGTAGCGTACAAACTGTCCTCAAGGTTACCTACTGCTAGCGCAGTACCACATTCCCCCAAGGACCAAGAAAATTTTATCAACTAAATAAAAAATTTTACAAATAGATAACAATAAGAGAGTTTTCTACTCAGTTTTGTCATCCCATTGGTGATAAGAGTTTTTAATGAATAGTTTTCTTTTCTTCTATTTTTCATTTTGCTGGTTTCTTGATTTCCAGAGGCACTTTCCACTGACTCTTCCATGGATTTGTCGGGTCTAACGCATCATACCCAAATTTCTTTCGAAATAGGTGACGTTCAAGAAGCTTAATTCGAGTTTCCGTCGGTTTGTTCTTATCCGTCTTCACATTAGCCAAACTGAATCGGTATTGCTCCAATGCCATTTCGTTCAGGTCTGCAACCTTCTCGCCCGTACTAATAGACTTCACCGAATATTTCACCGGACTGCCCAATCTTTTAGGCCCTTGATTTTCCGTAGCTCGCTTACTACGCCTCACACTCGTTTCAGTTTGTTCATCTACAATTGAATCATCCGAGATCCCGGACGGAGAACAATGCTCGCCTGTTGACTCTGCTTGATTCTCAGCTCTAGATTTTGCGATTTCCTCCGCTGTCCTTTGCAAACCTCTTGTCAAGACTTGGTCTGCGAGACTTTGCCATTCCTCTGGGGCCATGTCCTGATTTTGAAATGCATTTAGAATTGAACTAGGGGAAGTGTCTCTAGTGATGCGTTTCTTCGATGGTTTGGCTTGAGTATTAGCCAAATTCCCCGAGCTGCTTGGCTGATCTGATGGAATAATCGTTTCCAACTGATCTGACGTTCGGACCTCTTCTGCTGTTACTGCAGCTTTCTTTTTGTCCGATTTGCTTTTCGACTTGATCGTTACCTCATTCTGACCTTTCGTCTCCCCTAACGATTTGAGTGCAACTTGATCTTGCGTTTTCGGTCCCATTGTCGTTGGACCACTGAGATTTGGCTTCGCTCGCTTCACCGCCGGTTGGTGGTTCCCGAGACGTGACTACAGTCTCGCTATCCTGAAAAAGGACCTTCGTCTGTTCACTCGATATGTTTTGGTCTTCCTCCTCAGACTCCGTATCGTCGTTTTGCTCCGCATCTTTCTTTTGGTGCTTGCTCTTTGGTTCTTCCAGTGGACTTTCTGCTTTTCCCTTCTGGCACAATCCTTCCTGATGTGTATTCTTAGGAGGACTCGCCACCTTTGCCAAATCACTTTTACGATAGACTGCTCCTGCAGCTGTTGTTACCGTCTTCGGCGACTCAGTTGTTACTTTTCCTTTGAAGGGTTTAGTCAGAGCCGCCGCACTTTTGCGCGTTTCATCCCTGCGAATGAGATTATGACTATTCCATTCCGACCCCTTCGGTTTATCCTCGACAAACTCTTCTCCCATGAATATAGAAGTTCTTTACGTAATTCCGGGTTGATAGTGCTAGTGGCATCCTCTAGTTGTTGAAGGTTGTGACCGTCGTATCTACGTCGTTCTGCATTCCAGTTGGCGTTCGCTTCTAACAGTATGCGGAGAGTTCTTGCTCGAGTCTTCTCCTGAGCTGACATATTCTCTTTTTCGAAAAGAGGGCTGACATCCCGACTCTTTTGACCCTTCTTCTTTTTTTTTAGAGAATCCCGAGATTGATCAATCCTCTTCTTTAACTGAATAGCGGTTAGCGTCTATCTCTCCAGGTGCTGTTTATCTAAATGATCAGAAAATTCGACAAATTTATCTCGCATAATTTTAAACTCCGTTTTTGGTAATCTACCAAAATGTGCTTCGAACGGTGATTTCTGAATGGTCTTTTGTTTAATCCACCGCATGTCCCGAATTTTTGTGCTGAGACATAATTTAATCGATCTTACCTTCTCTTCAAGTAACATCACCCCCAGACGCCTTTTTATAGTTTGTATAGTTCGTTCAACTAAACCACAACCACAATGGTCTCCCATCGGACAAAACTTTTGTTCGATGTTGTTTTCAAGACAGAATTTTTTCATCGCTTTTCCTTTGAACCCCGAGAACTGGGAACTGGTCAGTTCTTATTGATTCTGGTATTCCGTGCGTATCTATGTACGAGCGTAGAAACTTAATGGTAGATTTTCCCCCCGTTGATTTCATTACTTTAACCGAAGGAAATTTTGAGTAACGATCAATTGCTGTTAACAAGTAAATTTTCCCCTTACAATCTTCTAAGGGTCCCGCGTAATCTAACTGAACCTCCTGCCCGGGCTGTGACAACAGCGGCAGTGGTTGCAAAGAGTTTTTTTGGTTTAACATATTTTGCATTCTTACCGTAACCTGTACATTCTCTACACTCCTCCGCAAGATTTACAATATCCTTGTGCATGTGGGGCCACCACAAGTAATTCGACACATCCAGCATAGCCTCTTGCCCCGGATGGCCTCGATGAATTCGCTTCATAACTGCTGGTCGAAGTTGTATCGGTACTGCTAGCCGATTGTCTACTAGAATGCAGTCGTCGACTACCGAGAGTTGTGTCCACAATGGGTTCGTATACGGATCCATGAGTACAAATCCAGCCCGATCCTTCCTTTCTATCACCCGACGTAAGCGATTCATCCACGCATCTTCAGAGATGAGTTCTGCTAATAGCGTTTTGTCAAATAATTTAGACAAACTGAAGTTCCCCGCATTGCTCGTATCTGCTAATGAGTCGTCCAGCTTCGTTTGGCTTTAAGCGACCCTGCGTGTTGATTGAACCGCACTTACGTGTTCACTGTTATCGTCGTCCTCCGCGATTAGGTCCACTTCGATGATGGATTTAGCAGGGGAAATTGAACGAGTACCTGATCTCGGACTTTTAGTGATCATCTGAGTTGCTGCCTCCAGTTCTCTAATATTTCCCGTGAGCTCCTTATCCTGACTAACTATTAGATTCAACACGTTATTAATGGGCAAAAAATTTGAATCAAACTCGTTCTCGTTCCGGTCGAGCTTTGTTCGGTTTTTGACCGTTTTGTTGCTATGGCAACCATGCCTGGAATTCAACAACTTGTTTTCTCGTTTCTGTTTTTGAGAATGTTCTAGAAGATTTTCATTCTGATTTACTAAATCAGTAGCATTCAGCCGACTGTACAAACAGTCGAGTGCCCTATGAAAACACTCGATTGAAGTAACAACAAATTTTTCATCTAATTTTGTTTCTGGACACGGCTCTCCTGATGGTTCTCTAGAAAGATAATCTACGATCCCCATATCCTTTCCAGGAATATGCACGATTTTGAATTGGTATGGCACTAATCTATCCACCCATCTCGTTAACCGCGATTGATAGGTCATATTAGAACGTTTGCCTTCTAAGGCAGATGTTAATGCCTTATGATCTGTAACTATTACAAATTCTTTTCCTAATAAGTAATGTTTGAAGCGATCAACTGCCCAAACTACCGCTAATAATTCGAGCTCGTTAGAAGAATACTTTTTCTCCTGATTATTCAAGTAGCGCGATGCAAATGAAATTGGGACCCAGTCGTTATTTTCTGTTTGTTGTTCTAACGATGCCCCTAAACCACTTTGACTTACATCACATTTGACCCGAGTTTCTTTGGCCGGGTCATAGTAATTCAATTTATCGATGTTTGCAACTGCTTTTTTGATATCTTCGAATATTTCTGTGTATTCAGTACCCCATACAAATTTCTTGACCGGGACTTTAATGTTTTTCAATTTTTTCTTCTCATTCTCCTCACGAAGTAATGGTCTAAGCTTATCTGTCAAATTAGTTGCATTTGGTATATATTTCGAAAGATGATTAATACTACCTAGAAAGGATCTAAGTTGTTTAAGCGATCGAGGATGCTCTAACTTGAGTTTTGCTTCCGTTTTTGTAATCTTCGGAGTAACCCCACTCTCTGAAAGTTTATTTCCAAGCCAGTTTACTTCTGTTTTAAAGAATTCACATTTCGATAGTTTCAGTGATAAGTTCTCCTTGTCTAACTTAGTTAAGACGTCGGTGATGAGTTCTTCATGTTCTGACTCCGAACCCTTTGAAACTATTAATATATCATCCAAAAAACAAAACGTGTTCCTGGCGTTGTTCAATGTTCGATCCATTGCTTTTTGAAATTCCGCTGGCATATACGCCAACCCATAGAATCCAGTCAAAAAACGATATGTACCCATTGTTTTTCCCCCTACAATATTGAAATTACACTGCCTAGCAGTCTGCGGCGTCAGGTTCAACTGACTGTACGCATATTTCAAATCCAGCACGGTGAAGAACAAGGTACCTGCTGCTCGTGCAGTCACTATCTGACTGACTCCATCTAAGAGTTCCTCCACATTCGGCATTTGGTAATTGTTTTTGTACAATTGTCTACTGATAGGTTTGGTATCTAATGCCAACTTCATAGAATCGTCTTTCTTCACCGTTATAACAATAGGAGCAATAAAACAATCACTGGTACGTTTATCTAACCTCTGAATGTGGCCTTCCAGCAGTAATTTTTCAATCTCATTTTCAACTTTTCCTTGCACATGGATCAGTATTCTCCTCCCTTGTTCCTGAATCGGGCAAAGAGGGTACTTGAACGTTGTGCTCACCACATGATGTATTGATCGTCCGTTCCTGTCGAACAGTTCTTTGAAGTCTCCATGGAACTTTTCTTTCCATACCTCCGACTGTTCACACAGCAATATATCAAATCGGGACTTTGTTTTTGGAGC